TACTTTCGAACAGGATTTGGTTTACCGAAATGTTCGAAAGTCGAAAGTCCTACCGAAACTCGAAAGTCTTACCGAAACTCGAAAGTCTTACCGAAACTCGAAACTCTTACCGAAATTGAAAGTCATACCGAAAGTCAAATCCTATTTCATTCAAGTAAAGTCACTTTTCGAACATTTCACATGACGCAGACTTCGACAAAGACTAATCAGATCTTGATTTTAAAAAAATCACGTGCCCGCGCCACTTAAAATCGACCAATGGGATTGTGGGTAAGAATTTATAGAAATTCCATTGGTCGATTTTAAGTGGGCGGTCACGTGATTTTTTAAAATTGTCATATCAAAAGAAGGGAATGCTACGGATACAACATTACAGGCGCTTATGTGCGCAACAAAGCATTAGAGTTAAGGTTAGGGGGCACAACATTGGTTGGATTTTTTCACGTGATTGTTGTGTCCAGTATAAAAATCAGTATCAAGATCTGATTGGCCTTTGTCGAGTCTGCGTCACGTGATATTAATGTTTGACTTTCAGTAGGACTTTCGATTTTGGTAAGAGTTTCGAGTTTTGGTATGACTTTAAAGTTTCGGTAAGGCTTTCGAGTTTTTGTATGACTTTCGGTATGACTTTCGGCACGCCAAAATACTTTCGGAGCCATCCTTAATCCGGAATAAATTATATCTTAATAAGAAAATTAAATGAAAAGTATTAAGTTGTATAACTTACTAATATAAATTTGTGAATAAAAGGATCAAATGATTATAAAGTCGCGGCTAAAATTCTGGGAAATGATCCGATTCCTTTAGAGAGCAAATTTTTTTATTTTGAAGTTAAAATTATAGATGGAGGTATTCTTATTAATAAATTTATGTTATATATTCAACTCTAAGTGCAGGTCATATATTTTCATCTCCTTAAAACACAGCATTTCTGGCTAAATCCATCTCTCTAAACACAATTTTGTTAAATGCATTTAGAGGAAATTATTTGTATTAGAATAATTTATAATAATTTATTTTAAATCTTTTAAAAGAATGATCGGAATCGGATTTTGCACAAAGCCGATTGATCAAAACAAAAAAACCGATGATTTAGATATTATGTCATTACCTGGTAATAAAAATTTATTATTATTGTTATTTTTTATATAGTTTTATAGCCGTAGGTCTACATTTATTATGACCTTTTTAGGCCAAGAAAAAAACTCTTGCGGTTACCATAGCGATGATGGTTATTCTTTTTGTTCCGGAAATGGTGAGCCGTATGGACCACCATATACTACTGGTGATACTATTGGATGTTATTTAAATTTCGACAACCGGATAGTATTTTATACTAAAAATGGAATAAATCTAGGTAATTGTTATTTAGCGATTAAATTTAACAATCCAAAGCCTAAACATGAATTTGGTATTTATATCATCATATTTCAAGGAATTGCATGCTATATGCCCGATGGTTTGAGAGGAATTCTATATCCCTGCATTGGAATTAGATCTCAAGGAAGTTCTGTAGAGGCTAATTTTGGAGATAAAAAATTTGAATATTCTGGAAAGTTATTTAAATAATGATATAGATAATCGTTTTAGACTGCTTAATATCATTTAACATTTATCTTATCTGCTTCCATTAATAGTTATGAATAACGATGATATTAGCAACCAATTGATTAATTCACCTGCACTTGAAGAAACTCTTGATAAATTAACCAAATCATTGGAGAAAAATCCAAATGATGTAATTGACCTAAGCTATAGAGGAAGAATCTATTTTATTATAGGCAGATATGAAGAAGCATTCGAAGATCTAACTAACCTACTAAAAATTGAAAAAATGATATCATAGCATTAAGATATCGAGGAGAAGTCAATTATTTAATGAAAAATTATAATGAATCAATTGCTGACTTGAATAATTTGTTAGAAATTAAGCCAAATGATGCATGGGCATCAAAGGCCCTTGAATTAGTTGAAGAAGCGTAAGTATAATAAGCCTAAAATTACTTGAAGTTGGTAGTTTAACCAAACCATATATCTAATAACATGCCAATTATGTTATCACAATCAAACACTATAGCAAGTAAGTTAACAGTACAATTGATAATGTTTTTTAATTCAAATCAAAAAAAATAATGATAATTCAATCTAATAATATATTACTTCTGTTACATTAATTGCATTAATTATGTCAATATGTTATCACAATGAAACACTATAGCTAGTAAGTTAACAGTATAACTGATAATATTTTCAAGTCAATTCAAAAAAAAAAATTAATAATTCAAATCTAATAACATATTCCTTCTGTTACATTATCACAATCAAACACTATAGCGAGTAAGTTAACAGTATAGCTGATAAGAATATTTTTTCAAATCAAAGAAAAAAAAAATAACGATAATTCAAATCTAATAACATATTTCTTCTACATTAATTACATTAATTACATTATCTCAATCAAAAACACTACAATAGTCGGTAAGTTAACAGTACAGTATAACTGATAATAATATTTTTCAAGTCTAATCAAAAAAAATTTTTTCAAAAAAAATTACCATAATTCAAATCTAATAACATAATACTTCTGTTAAATTAATTATTAATTATATTATCACAATCAAACGCTATAGATCGTAAGTTAACAGTATAACTGATAAGGATATTTTTCAAGTCAATTCAAATCTAATAATATTATTTCTGTTACATTAATTATATTACATCAATTATATTATTGCAATTAAACACACTACAATAGTCGGTAAGTTAAAAGTATAACTGATCAATAATTTAAATCTAATAATATATTGCTTCTATTACATTAATTACATTAATTATGTTATCACAAACACACACAATAGTCGGTAAGTTAACAGCATAGATGATAAGAATATTTTTCAGATCAATTCAAAAAAAAAATAGTGATAACTCAAATCTAATAAGACATTATTTCTGTTACATTAATTACATATAATTATGTAAATTATATTATCGCAATCAAACACACTACACTAGTCCGTAAGTTAACATTATAACTGATAATTCAAATTTAATAACATATTATTTCTGTTACATTAATTACGTTATTACAATCAAACATTATAGCAAGTAAGTTAATAGTATAATTGGTAAAAAAAATAATGATAATTCAAATCTAATAACATATTATTTCTGTTACATTAATTACTTCAATTCTGTTATCACACTATAGGACGTAAGTAAACAGTATAACTAATAATTCAAATTTAATAACATGTTACTTTTTTTATATTGATTACGTCAATTCTGTTGTCACAATTAAAAACTATAGCTAGTAAGTTAACAGTATAACTAATAAGAATGTTTTTTCAAAAAAAAATAATGATAATTCAATTCTAATAACATATTAATACTTCTGTTATATTAATTACATTAATTACATCAATTATGCTATCACAATCAAACACCCTGCAATAGTCTGTAAGTTAACAGTATAGTATAACTAATAAGAATATTTTTCAAGTCAAATAATTCAAATCTAATAACATCAGTTATATTAATTACATTAATTACATCAATTATGTTATCACAATCAAACATCATAGTTCGTAAGTTAACAGTATAACAAATAAGAATATTTTCAAGTCGATTCAAAAAAAAAAAACAATAATTCAAATCCAATAACATGTTACTTCTTTTAC